GACTCCGCAGCAGTACCAACGTCGATAATAACCCCATCCACGCTGGGCCCAAACGCAGTGGTGAACTCGGGTACTTGGAGCTGTGCGTTCAACAACTGATCCAGTGGTGCGTCACGCAGACAGTTGAGCAGGTGTAAGTGTTGTAAGTCAGGCGAACAGTTGACCAATTTGGCCACTTGATGACCGTAGTACACAGGGTCTCTGACCAGAGATAGAGGACTTAGTGGAGAACCACTGAGCAGTATGGCYCGATGGAATAACACTGCAAACATAAAACGCGAGGAAAAAAATTATAAATAAAATTTAATATGATACAATAGATATTACAATCATGGGCGTGTCTTATATAGTATATACATATGACTGAAAATCGTCGTTTTGGGTCGTGACATTTTCGCTTTCTCAAACCATTGATTTCCGATGAAAAAAAATGATGATGTTAACCGTAGAAAAATCTCATTCAAACTATTATAAATTGCCATTACATACTAGTATTATTACGTTCGGTTCGAAATTTTGTTTTTATGTGATCATTTGTGTGGTAATTTGAAACATATAGCTATAACGTTTCCAAATTCCATTGAAGATGATTTTTGCTCCTAATGGCTTTTCTGARATAATTATTTTGGAAATTAATGAAGCAAAATATTTTATGGGTAAAAATAACGAAAACGTGACCTACATATTATTATTATTATTATTCTCGTATTGAGATGGTATTTTGTGGGCTCGTATAAATCKGTCTGTTCCCCTTCCCACGCGTTAGGTACGTATGTTATTGCAATAGGCTAATTAAAACCAAAATTACAGACAATTAATAAAGATTTTCTTTGGGTCTTATATTTTATACTGTAGTCGAATTAAATAATAATTATCAAATMACGTTTAATGATTATCAATAATATAATATATTACAATTTTAATTTTAATTACACTCGTGTTGTTGGAACATTGTGGTTTTGTACACCTACTAATACTGCTAATTAATTATTTTATATTTCTATTATACATG